TCTACTCTCGAAAATGTACTTAAAATGTTCTCCATTACTAATTTCAAACGAAGTACTAAGTACAGTCCGAAAGCCAGCCCATACTGTAATCCAAACTGTAGTCGCTCTCCAGAGCATAGGTGCAGTGTTGACTGCAGTTTTAACTGTGCCTGATACCGAGTTATACTATTCTTACGCACTACTGTTACATGAGTACTTGTGCTTGAAGGTAAGCTTTAGTTAGAATTGCACTTTAGGGAGAGTCCTTACTATGGTCACATATGTAGTTTTATTTTGCTGTTGAAACTTTAGTTCAACTTACACAAATAATATGGTGGGCACTACATTCCTGTCAGTAAACCTAGCTTTGGGAGGATGACAGATTTTTAGTGTAATCGTTTTACACATCAATTATATTCATTCTTGTACATACAAACGTCCCTTTGCTTTGATCCAGCCCCTGCGGCCACAGCTCGGGCCACAGTGTAACTACAGTCGAACTGTAGTTCACTGCAGACAAACAGCAGTTTAACTATACCAATTTCGACAACACCTTAGTTCGACCACAGTTTGGCGTAGTTAAAACTGTACTCTTTCTCCAGATAAAACTGAAGTTCAGTTACAAATGGTCATCGGATCCGACTATATATAAACTTTAATGGTAAGTGCATTCAAAATGCACTGTTCCAGATTTGGTTCAAAACATTTAATTCCCCCTCTGACCCCTTTCCTTTAACTAGTTTTTAACTCGTATTACCCCATACTACATGTTACATGATAGAGTGCAAAGTACCTTTTAAACGCTGGATTTGCGAAGCTGGATGCAGACGGGAGTTGAACCTCGGACCTTGGAGCTGGGAGCCTCGCACGCTGACCACTAAGCCAGCGCGACACCATAGATCTGGTGCCGCAGGAACTCAATGTCATGCGGAGAGCCCCAGGCCAGGGGCCGGCTTATTTCAGTACAGTTCGACTACAGTTTGACTACAGTTAAAGTTCAGTGTTTCTACAATGCGGTGCGGTGGCTGTTTATATACCGTCCCGGTAAAGAAGAAACGGGAAAGAATACAAGAATGTGGAAGAAAACGGAAATGACCAAGTGAGAGGAAAGTGATTTCCGTTCACTTCGATTTGAAAAAGTAAAAATTTGAGGGAAAACTTTGCGTCAAACCGCGGTTTGGGTTATCAGTTACAAACAATAATTATTCATACACTGTGGCCCGAGCTGTGGCCGCAGGGGCTGGATCAAAGCAAAGGGACGTTTGTATGTACAAGAATGAATATAATTGATGTGTAAAACGATT